GCCAACCGTAGCGAAAGTTACCACTCGTCGAAGCAGGCCGTTCCAAAATATATAAACGATTTTTCATATTTTTCGTCTCTATTTTGCAGGATTATTACGGAAAGTCAAAAGAAGTCGAAATATTACATTTTTAATATCATTTCGAAATGTTCATGACCTAATTTCTCCCGTTCCTAACGGCGTGTGAAACGGACAACCGTAGCGAAAGTTACCACTCGTCGAAGCAGGCTGTTCCAAAATATATAAATGATTTTTCTTATTTTTTGTCTCCATTTTGCGGGATTATTACGGGAAGTCAAACGAAGTTGAAATATTACATTTTTAATATCATTTCAAAGTACTCATGACCTAGTTTCTCCCGTACCTAACGGCGTGCGAAACGGCCAACCGTAGCCAAAATTACCACTCATCAAAGTAGGCAGTTTCAAAATATATGAACGATTTTTCATATTTTTCGTCTCTATTTTGCGGGATTATTAAGGAAAGTCAAACGAAATCGAAATATTACATTTTTAATACCATTTCTAAGTGCTCATGACCTAATTTCTCTCATCCCTAACGGCGTGCGAAACGGCCAACCGTAACGAAAGTTACCACACATCGAAGCAGGCCGTTCCAAAAATGGTATTAAAAATGTAATATTTTGGAACGGCCTGTTTGGACGAGTGGTAACTTTCGTTACGATTGGCCGTTTCGTACGTCATTAGGGATTGGAGAAACTAGGTCATGAGCACTTCGAAATGATATTAAAAATGTAATATTTTGACTTCGTTTTGTCTTCCCGTAATAATCCCGCAAAATGGAGACAAAAAATAAGAAAAATCGTTCATATATTTTGGAACGGTCTGTTTCGACGAGTGGTAACTTTTGTTACGGTTGGCCGTTACGCACGCCTTTAGGGATGGAAGAAATTAGGTCATGAGCACTTAGAAATGGTATTAAAAATGTAATATTTCGACTTCGTTTGACTTCCCATAATAATCCCGTAAAATGGAGACGAAAAATAAGAAAAATCGTTTATATATTTTAGAACGGTCTGCTTCGACGAGTGGTAACTTTCATTACGGTTGGCCATTTCGCACACCGTTATGATGGGAGAAATTAGGTCATGCG